TCTAATTTGCAGAGCTGCCACATTAGTTTATTAAAATGGCCAGTTTTCAATAAAAAGTCTGAGACATACAAAGAAACAGAAAAGTATGGCCCATATTATTGGGAATAAAGCAATCAATACACACTGCCCCTGAGGAAGCAGAGACATTTACTTGACTAACTAGATCAGTAAGCTTATTAAGTCAGCTATTACAAATATCTTGAAAAAGTTCAAACTGTGTCTGAAGATCTACAGGAATGTATGAGACCAGTTTCTCACCAAATAGAGAATATTAATAAAGCGATAGGATTTTTTTTTTTTTTTTGAAGAACCAAATAGCTATTCTGGAGTTGAAATACAATAACTCAAATGAAAATTTCACTATAGAGGATCAACAGTAGATTTGAGCTTACAGAAGAAAGAATCATAACTTAAAGATATGTCAGTTGAGATGATCTGATTTGAAAAGCAGAAAGACAAAAGAATGAAATAAAATGAACAGAGTCTCAAAGACTTGCAGAATACCATCAAATATACCAACATACAGATGATGGGAATTCCAGGAGAGAAGAGAGAGAAAGGTGCGGAAGGAATATCTGAAGAAGTGCTGGCAGAAGTATTCCACAACTTTATGAAAAACATTAGTCTGTGTATCCAAGAAGCTCTGTTAACTCCAAACAGGGTAAACTCAAAGAGATCCACACCTAGACACAGCGTGGACAAACTGCTAAAAGCCAACAACAAAGAGAGAAACTTGAAAGCAGAAAGAGAAAAACAATTCACGATACACTAGGGAACCTCAATAAGATTAACAGCTGACTTGTCATAAAAAATCATGGAGTCCAGAAGGCAGTAGGATGATATATTCAATAATTCTATATCTAGTAAAACTATCCTTCAAAAAGAAAGGAGAAATTAAGACAATCACATAAACAAAAACAGAATCCAATGCTAGCAAATCTGCCCTGTAAGACATAATAAATGGAGTCCTGCGGGCTAAAATGAAGGGATACTATAAGTGAATTCAGATCCACACAAAGAAAAAGAGCACCGATAAAGGTAACTACATAGGTAAATATAAAATACAGTATAAATGTATTTTGTTTATGTCTTATTAACAGAGCAGTACTACCCAAATTGATCTATATATTCATCGCAATCACCCTCAAAATCTCAGGTGTCTTTTTGGGAGAAACTGACAAGGTGATCATAAAATTCATCTGGAAATGCAAAATCCCCCTAAAGGCAAAAAAGCAGTCTTGAAAAAGAACAAAATTGGAGAACTCATACTCCTTGATTTCAAAACTTACTATGTAGCTACAGTAATCAAGACAGTGTGGTACTGTCATAAAGATAGGCATGTATAAATGGAATAGAGTTGAGAGCATAGAAATAAACCCTTACATTTGTGGTAAGTCGATTTTCAACAAGGGTACCAAGACCATTCAGTGGGGAAATAATAGTCTTTTCTAGAAATAGTACTGGGAAAACTAGATCTCTGCATGAAAAAGAATGAAGTGGAACTACTTCCTCACATTATATACAAAAATTAACTCAAAATGGACCAGACTTAAATGCAAGAGCTAAAACTATAACACTCTTAAAAGAAAATGTAGGAGTAAATCTCTGTAATTAGGCAATATCTTCTTAGACATGATACCAACAGCACAAGCAACAAAAGAAAAAATAGGTAAATTCATCAGAATTAAAAACTTTTTGGTTTCAAAGGATACCATTAAAGTGAAAAGGCAGTGCACAGAATGGGAGAATTCTTTGCAAATCATATATCTGAAATAGAATATATGAAGAATCCTTACAGCTTAACCATAAAAAGACAAATAACCCAGTGTTAAAAATGGGCAAAAGATTTGAATAGCTGTTTCTCCACAGAAGATGTACAACTATCTAATAAGCACATGAACGCAACATCGTTAGTCATTTGCATTGGTAAATTGCAAATAAAAATCACAGTGAGATACCACTTCATACCCACCAGGGTGGCTAAAATAAGAAACAGCCAAAAATATGTGTTGACAAGGATGTGGAGAAACTGGAACCCTCATAGGATGCTGATGGAAATGTTAAAATGGTGTAGCTATTTTCAAAACCAGTTTGGCAGTTTCACAAAATGTTCAACACAGACTTACCATATTGACACAGCAGTTTCACTCCTAGGTACTGACCCAAGAGAAATGAAAACATAGGTCCACACAAAATTTTATACACGACTGTTTGTGGTACAAACATAATAATAATAGCCAAGAAATGGATACAAGCTATAAATGTCCATCAACTGATGAGTGGATAAGCAAAATGTGGTCTATCCATACAATAGAGTATTATTTGGCAGTAAAAAGGAATGAAGTACTGACACAGACTACAGCGTGAATGCACCTTGAAAACATTGTGCCAACTGATAGAAGCCAGGCACAAAAGACCACATATTGTATAATTCCATTTATATGACATTTCTAGAAAAGGCAGAGCCATAGAGACAGCAAGTAGCTTAGTGGTAGCCAGGGGGTATTGGGAGGAACTGCTAATGGGCACAGGTTTGGGTTTTTTGGTGATAAAAATGTTCTAAAATTAGATGGTGATAGTTGAGAATCTCTGTGAATATACTAAAAACTGCTGAATTATACACTTTTAAAAGGTGAGTTTTATGGTATGTGAATTATATCTCAATAAATCTGTTATTTTTTTTATAAAGGCAATTTTCACATTTATCTGTTTACAATAAAAATGTATTTACGAATTAGTGGCATAATTTTAAAAAGAGAAAATAAATAGGTGGTTCCTGAGGTCTTTTTCAGCTCCAGCGTTCTAGGACCCTCTACCAGTGAGCTTGTCGCCACGCTGCATAGCCCAGGGAAGTTATGACCTAGAGCCTGCAGGTGGGTGGGAGACAGACAGAGGCAGAGGAGGGAAGAAGGGAAGGTGTGGGGGACTTAGACAGTCTAGACCCTGAAGTCAACATCAGATGCTTCTATGGCCTGGGACTCTGCTGCCCCTCCTTTCCCAACCTCAAGACCGCCTCTGTCCTCCTCAGGGCTCAGCTCTGACATCACCCACTGCAGGTTGGATTCTCCAGGAAGCAGACCCTGAGACGGAGTTAGAAGTACACAAGGCTTACAGGGGACTAACATCTGTGAAAGGAAAAGAGGAGGGGATGGAACTGAGAAGGGGGGTGTCATCAGACTGCGATGCAGACCTCACGGAGGTCTCTGGAGGCTCAGCAGGAAGCCTTGAGGCCGAGTTCCTAGTAGAAGAGCCCTGTGTCATCAGGTGGAAACGGGTCAGCCCTTTACTGCTGGTCGCTGACTGACAGTCACGTGTGAAAACTGACTTTATAAAAATAACAGCTTTATTGAGGTATAATTCATATGCCATCAAATTCACTTTTCTTTAAGTGTATCATTCAGTGGTTTTTAGCATATTCACAGAGATGCTCACCTCATACCACTATCTGACACTTGGAGTTAAACTTGACCCCTCTCATTCCTCTCATGGATTCGTCAGTAAATCTCATCAGTTTTGTATGGAATCTGACCTCTTCTCACCACCAAGCTGTGATCATTCTGCTGACTTGGATTTTTGCAATGGCAAAAATTGTTTCCCCTCTTTTTTTGCTCTCTGCCAACCCTAAACTGTTCCCAATGCAGCAGTCAGAGGGATCCTTTTAAAGTTAAGTCAAATCATGTCACTCTCCTGCTCAAATCCTCTAGCAGCTTCTACTGGCTTCGCTTCTCAGAGGAAAAGTCATCCAAATTCCTCACCTGACGTGATGCCCCCAGGCCCCATCTGCTCCCCCCATTCTTGGCTTTAGCCACACTGGCCACTCTGCTGTCCTTCAGAACCACTAAGGTCCTGCTTGGGGCCTTGGTACTTGCTGTCCCTTCACATTGTCTGCAAAGCTGGTATTTTACCTTCTTCACGTTTTTGCCCAAATGTCCTGCACCTCATTTCTCAGTGACACCTTCCCTGACCCTCCTATTTCAAACTGCACACCTTCCTCCGACACTGACAATCCCCTTTCCTGCTTTCTTTTTCCCCACGGTGTTTACTACCATCTAAAATCATATATATTTTATGAATGTTATGTGTCTGTCTCCCCTCACTAGAACCTGAATGCCTTGAGGGATGGGAGTTTAGATGGCTCAGTTTCCAGTCTCCCTGCCCCGCTAAGTGCCTGATACTTACTAGGCGCTCAGTTACTATGGGTGAATGAATGAATAACTGAATGCACACCAGGTGCTGCGCGAGGTCCTTAAATCCTCATAACAGCCTTCCGGAAATGTCCCCATCGTATACGTGAGACCTGCGTGGGTCTGGCCGCAGCCAATTCTGTTCGCCTGTCTTCTGCGCCGTGCTGCCCTCCCAGCGGGCCTTCCTAGAGCCCTTGCTCCTGTCTAAGGGAGCTTCATGGCTCCAGAACCTCTCAGTGCAAAAGGCACTGCAGGGAGTCACAGATGCGCCCACTCTGATGTGGGGACCAGTCTTGGATGTAGCCCTTGAGCCAGCACCTTGTCCCATTTCCAGATGCTTCTACTATGGCCTGGGGGTAGCGGTGTATCTGATCTGCAATTAATGAAAAGGAAAGGGGTGCTTTTGAAAAACTGGTGAAGGATTTAGGGGTTTTTTTTGTATATATTAATAATATAATGTGCCGTATAATTGTTTCTGGCTTCTGTTATTAAGGATGATTCCATTAGTGAGGGAAAACCCAGTCATTTCACCTGTGATTTCTGAAAATTGGATTTTTTCGTTTTTTGATATGCGTACCACACTTGGACCAGTGTAGTTTAAATAACGCGCAGAAAACTATAGCACGACTTCATTGTTTTAAAAAATCGACAGCTATTCTGATACATAAAAATACATGCATCTTAACACTCCACAGTGTCATCATGTTGACAGTGTGAATAAAGAAGTATTCTAATTGATCATTTATTAAAAGCAGTAAATTCAGTAGCAGTGGAAGAGTCTGGTGTCTCATTAGTGCTACTTAATTTTTCTTACAGGACAAAGCTCTAAAAACATCCGTTCATCTCCAAGCATTGAGAGCTTGCCTGGAGGAAGAGAGTTCACTGGCTCCCCACCTTCATCTGCTACTAAAAAGGATTCCTTTTTCAGCAACATCTCCCGTTCACGCTCACACAGCAAAACTATGGGCAGAAAAGAATCTGTAAGTATTTTAAGGACGGTTTTCTTTTTACCCTACATTTTCCTCTAGAATGCTGCATTTGTGAAAGCCTCTCTTTGTGCCTAGTTTTATAAAGTTCTTAAAATTTTTATGGACTGAAATGAACTATTTCATCAGAAGTATTTTTATTATTATAATTTAGTAATATTTTAACGCTCTGATCTATATTACACTGGGGTGGGGGTGAGGGGAAGTAGCATCAATTAAAATAAGTTGAATCCCAAATCTTCATCCTTTTTTTACTCTACAAATGCCTTTGTCAAAGCCTGTACTGCCTTCTAAAATGCTAAGAAATAGCATTATACCAAACCATAGAATAAGACACTTAAACCAAGCTGTTTTTTTCAGTTTTAAGTATTTCTTGAAAATGAAAAACAGCTATTTTACCAATTGTTTTTAAAAGTTATACAGATTACCTTTAAATTATGGTGTATTGATAGCTGCTGTCTAAGATCCTTTGTATACATTACTCAAAGGGACACAGCTAACGCATATCAACTACAATACTTAAAAAATCTCATTGTTTCTGAAAAAATGTTTAAGTCACCTTCACAAGAGATAAAACATTTAGTCACACTTTATAGCTATTTCAACCCAGTATTCTAATACGAAGAATTCCTCTGCCCACTGGAAGAGGCTGTAAATGCAAGGTCTTACAGCCAAGGACTAGCTGTTGCTGAAACAGTGCTAAGATGGAGGGGTGGGTGTACAACCTTTGAGGGATAATTATTTAAGGTACATAGGCCAGATAACAGCATGGTGTCTATCTGCGTGACTGTATGACACTCAGCTTCCTGGTGCTTCCGCCACCTCATCTGCAAGTTAAACAACATACTTTGCCCTCTGAAGGGAAGAGTTCAACACATACTCTCTCGGGGCGCTTTCCACGTGCAGGAACCGTGCTTCTCTAATTTGTAGAAGAGCAGAGTGGAACTTCCATTTGCAAATGGCAGCTTTAATGCAAGCAGTTCGCTCTGCTGCCTCCTAAACTCCACTCCAGGAACAGTTAAGGTCATTTCAGATAAACCCTAGAGGAATAAGGAAACAGGAGAGACCATAGCCGCTAGCTTTTTGTTACTTGGAAAGCAGATGTTAAGTGGAAGCTAACTTAGCGGCCTAAGAAAGCTGTGCATGCTAAGCCAGCAGTAGGGAAAAACCAAGAAGCAGCCTGAGTGAGATGATAAAACCCTCTAGAAGCTCAGGAACTGGAAACGGGGTGAAGGTGGTGCTGAAGACGTGAGGACTGGTTAGAAGTTTCTTCAAGAAGCGGATAGATTCCCATCCTCACTCTGGCAGAAGACTGGAGGTTTAATTCTCTGGGAAGTGTGAAACAGAATGTCTCTGGACTGAGAGAGATCAGGAATATTCGAGTATGAGACCACCCTCCTGGAAAAGGGTGTTGAATATATTTAAATACTGAATTGAGATCCCCAGGCCTCACCCCACTTGCTTCCCAGAACACCAGTAAGTATGTCCCTTCAGGCAGGAGAGTGGAAGGGTTTTCTCTAGGCAGAAGTCACAAATTACAAAAACCTTAGGGGTTCTCCAGGGAAATAGCCAGTTCACTTTACAGTGAACTCAACCATCACAGGCCCATCTAAGCACAGAAATTACTCTTAACTTGTAGTTCACACTATTTTATATGAACAAGATAGGCAAGAGTCACCAGATACTAGAGGAGAGCATCTAATAGTGACAGACAGGCAGAAACAAATAGATAAAAAGCAACTGGGAAGAAACAAGTCTTTGCAGGAGAACGCTTCAGAAAAAAATATTCATCCAGAGAATAACAACAACAACAAAAGCTATTAGAAATTAAAAGATGACATCTGAAATGTAAAACTCAATAGAATAGTTGGAAGATAAAATTGAGGAAACCTCCCCAGAAAATAGGATACAAGACAGAAATGGAAGGTAAGAGAAATAAATACCATAAATAAAAAAAAATTAGAGAACCAGCCCAGGAGGTTCAAAATCTAAAAAAAACAGGAGTTGCAGAAAGAGGGAACAGAGAAAGTGACAGGAAGGAAATAATCAAAAATATAATTCGGTTAGTTTTTCCACTAATGAAAGATCTGAGTTTTCAGATTGAAAAAGGTCATAGAAAGTCCCACGTGAATAAAAATAAACCCACACCCAGATACACCACCGAAAAGGCTCAGAACCCTGGGAACAGAGATATCCTACAGACATGTAGAGTTGGGGAAAAATAAAGATTTCCAACAAAGGGTGAGGAATTACAATAGCTACAAATTTCACATGGCAACACCAGAAGTAAGACAATGGAGGAGAAATTCCTTCAAAGTTCTGAGGGGAAATTACTTCCAGCCTAGATTCAGTCCCTAGCTAAGCTAATTATGTGTGAGGGCCACTTTCAGACATTCAAGATTCAAAAAATGTATTCACATGCGCCCATTCTCAGAATCCACTGGAGGATGTGCTCTACAAAAATGAGGACAGGTACCAAGGATAAAGAATACATGAGAACAGGAAATAGAGCAACCAGAGCGAGACAAAAGGATTCCTCAGAAGGGTAATGCAGGGAATCCCGGAGTATACAAAGCATGACGGTTTAGCAGGTCCAAAGAGCAGCAGCCGGCCCGGACTGGAGCAACTCAAAAGGCTCCAGACAGTTTTCTCTAAAAAGACAAAACTGGAAGAATGACTCGTATATTTGGACAAATCGAGAAATTTACACAGCTACAGGTGAGTTTAGGTTTGAATTAGTGATAACTTTTTAAAAATGAAGCCATTAAAACACAGGACAACTATATGCCAATAAAAACGAAAAAAACAAAAAACACAGGACAAGGTAACTCCAAAGAAAAACCAAGGGTGTATAGGAAAAGACAGAAAGGTATTGATAAACCCCGTCACTGAGCCAGGCCTGGAATTTACATAAACATTATGATGTAAGTCTGTTGACTGTTAATGGTGATAAAAATCCATTGAGAAAGGTGGGTGGGGAACTGCGTTTGCTTGGGGAGGGGAAGGGGTAGGTGGTGGTCAGAAGAGCCGCATCTTCATCTTCTTCCCTGGAAAATCAGCGAATAATACTCTAGAAAAATCAAGAGGTGGCAATATAAGCTAGAGCTATAAAGGTGAGAAAAAAAGCACGCGTAAGAGTTGAAAGTGGTTGCTAGAGCAGGAAGCAGAGGGTGGGGCTGTGTGAACTGCTTTTCATAACAAGCCTCGTAGAACCATTGGACTCTTTTCAGCGTTACATATGTAACTCAGATTAAAAATAATAACTAAAAATCTCAACAAAAATAGGATGTACTGGCATAATAAATTAGTAGAGGAGCTGTCTGCCTGTACAAAGAGCATGTCTCTGAAGAACCAGAGTAAGGAATAACAAGTGAGAAAGCAGACGGGTCTGACAGGTCTGATTTGCGTTCTGTCCTCTTCTGGTGCCATATGGGTTAGCCTACAGCACGAACTAATTACTTTTCTTTATGGCGCTACTGTAACTTAAAGCTGAGCAAAAATAGAAACAGAGTACGTAGACCTGCTGTGAACCCAGAAACAGAATGCCCAACTCTTATTCAAAAGTTAGTATATTGCCTAAGTTGTGGGAAGTAAGTAGACAGAACTTCTCAAGAGAAAGTACCTTTTTCCGAGTTACAGGTTATTATTTTAGGAAATAATTTATCGTGGTCAGTGCTCTTTGCCACATCATTCCAGTTCTGCGCCACTCTGGGCACTGGATGGGATTGCACCCCCCTCCGATCCCCTGGGACCCGTTGGAGCTGTGTGGCCTGTTGTGTCCCGTGAGTTGGGAACGGCAGTGGCAGGCGTGTGTTGCCACTGCAGGGTTTTCCACAGCCCTCTCCTTCCCTCTGGCACGGTGAGCAGAACCCACGCGTCAGCCCATGATAGACGTGGAGCCTGAGTGAGAAACAAGTCTTTATTGAGTTAAGCTGAGATTGTTGCTTTGCACAGCGTAATGCACAGTTGGAAATGTTCAGGCCCAGAGCTGAGATTCATTCTCCCATGGGACCACCAGCGTGGTCCCGGTGGCACCAGAGCCTGTGACGAGGCACCGACCATCCTTGCGCCCACGCCCACTTTGCTTTCATTTCCAGCCCCATTTAGTGTGATACAGGGGTTTTCCATGTCCTTAGAAAAGTTCAAGGTAATTTTTCATTAACATCATCATCATCACCAGTTTCTCATGCAGCAGGTGGCCAGAAACTGAAGCAAGGACATCTGTTGCTTTGGGTCCCTAGTGCCTTAAACTGTATGATGCCTTTCAGATTTCAAGACTCAGCTGATCTTTTAAAGTATCCCAGGGTTAAGAAATGGTTGATGTCAGTTAACAAAAGGCTGAAATAGTAGTTGAAAACAGACATTAAAACAAAAGTAACCGGGCTTCCCTGGTGGCGCAGTGGTTGAGAGTCCGCCTGCCGATGCAGGGGACACGGGTTTGTGCCCTGGTCCGGGAAGATCCCACATGCCGTGAAGCGGCTGCGCCCGTGAGCCATGGCCGCTGAGCCTGCGCGTCCGGAGCCTGTGCTCCACAGCGGGAGAGGCCACAACAGTGACAGGCCTGCGTACCGTAAAACAAACAAACAAACAACAACAAAAAAAGTAACCTAGTAAGTCGCTATCAACCTAAAAGTGGTGAAATCTGCTTATAATGTGTCTAATCTTATCACTGAGAAACAATTTTTTTCAACATCAATATAGGTATGACGTATTTTGGACAAGAATCACGTATTAGGTCATAGAACTTACTTCCTCTCACTGTTGCCTTTTATGGATCATAGAAAGACTTTCTGTAATCCACAGGCTACCTTTTTTAAATGAAGGTGTATCACATTTACTCCGGGTAATGCCCCCGATCTGGTTGTATAATAGAAGAACACAAAACTCAGCTAAGACTATAGAGAGGTAACAAATTAAGCTTTGTGCGATGTGTTCATAAAAGACATTGTTTTCTGAAATGCAAGCAAACTAGTAGGAAGTTTTAAGAATTGACC